ATCATCGTCTTCCTCTCTGAGCATCATCGTCTTCCTCTCTGAGCATCATCATCATCCTCTCTGAGCTTCATCGTCATCCTCTCTGAGCTTCATCCTCAGACTCCTTCACCGCGCTTTCCTTGATCTTCCTCTTTGCTGCTCTGGTTGGATCCTGATCTCCAGGCTGAGCTGAACTTCCAAACAGGAATCAATGTTTTTTAATGTTTTCCTGGAAACTCCAGGAAAACTTTTCCACCAGCAAAGCTGCCTGCTAGCGAAGTCACAGCATGGCCACCAGGGGGCATCCTGCACTGTGAACCTGTGGAGTCTTCTAAACTAAGCAGGGCTTCCAGCCTCCAATAATACTTCAGAACTGTCTGAGGCTATTGCCATGGTTGCATCTGATTGGTTGACGTTTATCATGTGATCCTATGAATGATTCTGGACCTGTAATTACCAGCAGCAGTCATTGGTCAGTTTACCTGCTGTTCCTCCCTGTCTGTTCCTCAGGTCTTTCTGTTTTGTTTCCTAACTGACAGCTAGCAGATGCTAATGTTGCTAATTGTTCTAAGTTTTCTATGCAGATGCTCCAGTTTAGCATTAGTCAGACTTTAGATACGAGCCGATCATCGAGTAGAAGACCTGTTGGTAAAATGTTGAACTATTTCAGGAAAACTGTGATAAATGTGATCCGAGGGGAGAACGTTCTCCTCTTTCTATTAAAGTTTCTGTTCTTCTGTTTGCTTCCATCCAGTTCATTAGTTCTCATTTAGTATTCAAACCCACAGGAGACATTGAAATAGAACAAATAGAACAAGCTACTTGGTCCCAATGGAATTTCCCATTGGGAACCTGCTAGCACTAAGTTGCTAACTGTAGCCACCAGATCTGCTTCCTGCCGGTGACGTTACGCTACATGATTGGATGAACGTTACCTTATGATGTGAAACATTGTGGTTGCCCGGACAACAATAATAACAATGCAGCGTCCGTGTGCAGAGTCGGGAGCATCTGTAGCGTTAGCGTGTCTAATGGCCGATGAAGTTTTACTTGATCGATAACAAAACTGAAAAAAAAAATCTGTTTCTGGTGAACAAAGTAACTGTTAGACTGTGATATAAAGAGCTGGGTAGCGCTGTGGCTAGCTGCGCTCAGTAGCTAACAGGTTAGCCTGTTTAGCTCGTTTTAGCACAACAACCTTTCGTTTTTTTACAAGTAGAATAACTGCTATATTTAATCCGTATGAAAGTCATCT